ATTAGAATACATGCTTTTAAAATATAAGACTACACTATTCATAAGAAAGTATATAAATGTCAATTTAAAATATTTTTATTAATTTATGAGTAATGGACACTGCATAGTAATCCTTATGATCAATAATAAATGCTTTCATAATAGTCATTGTCAAGACTTACAAAAACCTAATTATCTCATTTCCAGTGCTAGTTGAAAGACAAAATTAAATGAAGTGAAATTTGTTTGGATTTAATATATTATGAAATATGTTGTTAGCATTCATTAGCTTTTAATCAGATGAGTTTGTAAGGACGTATTCTGAATATACTTTTGCATAATTTTATTTGATATTTCTATAACCCAACTTGTGATATTTTTAACTCAAAAGAATTATTCGTAAATATAGAAATTTGTCAATGTTTTTATCGATAAGTTACTATTTACATACATTTCAAAAAATATTGTAGAAAAAAATTAACCATATTTAATGTATATTCGACTTTAAATATTAGTTTAAGGCTTATATTTTACACGTACTATAGTTTAATTAAATCGACCATAGCTACATTACTAGGTCAGCTATATATCCATACACATTGTAATTTCATTAGATAAAATCTCTTCCTCATATTATTTACCGAACAGTTTTTCAAAAACTTTTGATTTCCAAGCAAATACTCATGAAACCGAAGGTGGTATAAGGCACTCTTTCAAAGCAGCAAGCGAACCCATCTACGTCATCACTCTCTTCTTCCGGTTTCAGCGGCGAGGAGCTGATGAGCCAGCCCTTTAGCCCTGGCAACCTGCGGGGATTTAAACTGTAAGCACAAGCCATGTATTTGTTAGTGTAAAGTAGAATCGCCACTTCTAACGCATCGATCCAGGAGTTCTGACGTTCGTCTAGATCAGTGATTCTTAACCTGCTGTACTGTCCATTCAGCCCATCACCATTACTAGGAGATCATTTTCCCCTCCTTTAAAATATTCAAAAAATACATGTACATTTATTAAGATTTAAAGCACTTAAGGTGCTTTTATAAATTAAACAACAAGAAGTATATAAAATGTTGACAGATACCAAAACTTGAATGAGAATAGTTTTTTTTTTTTTCATTTATAAATTAAAACTAAATACTTAACAGCTAAATAAAAGGCTGATTGTATTCCCCTTTGAAACTATGGAATTTCCCCAGGGGGCATTCACCCTTGATTGGGAACCCCTGATCTAGATGCTTATGTACCTCCAAACTATGCTCTTAAAAGGGAAATAATTTTCATTAAAAACAGAATTAAATTTTGTTGCTGTACTTTTTATGCACATTGTTATTATAACTGAAAATAAAATTAGGGGTAAAAAATGCAATTGACCTCGAATACTTTTAAAACATTAGTACGATACCATTTTTAGCCTAATCAAATGGCTACGTAAGTACTGAAAGTAATATAATTTTAAGAACTTTTCCTACATTTGCTTGTTAAAGAAAAACTTAACCAAATATAATGGCATTCACCCTTGATTATAATATCTGAGCTTCTTCTCAAGGTCTTTTATTGGGGGGGGATCCACTTTTTTTTTAACTCTTAGTGAAAGAAAGTCCTTTGCCAGTGACCTAAAATTAGTTCAAAATGAAATTCAAAATCTGTATGTGTTCAATACTACGACTGTGTAAAAGAGTCCCGAGTTTGCATTACGCAGCAGATAAAACTTTTCACCAATTGCCACTTTCGACTTTTAAATCAAAAGTGGTTTTCTTTGTACAGTTTTTATGTTTGACTATGGCAAAGCATACGAGAACTATATGTCTAAGGAGAGGGATGCCTTCGTGGAGGACTTTGTAAAGAAAACTGGCTCGTATCTACGTTACATATGGGAAAAATCATGAAAGCGCCCATGCAGCCAGCAGTACTAACATTAGGTCGAACTACTAGTATTTAGCGACTTTATCGCTCAACAGCTGGTGGGCTTCTCATTACAGCCTTCTTATCGGTGCAGGGAAAGATTTTATCAACTGATTGCCCTCATAGGGATTTCAACCATTGACCATCCACCTGCTAGCTGGGTATGCTAACCATTTATGCCGTGAGAACATGCATCATAGAAACAATATTCTATTCTGTTAAAGTTCATGTATTGGTACATGATAGGTTTTATAATTTTTCAAGTAAATTATTTATAAAGAACATGATATCCTCTATTTGATGACTAGTGAATTTCATGGTAATTTTTAATGAAACATTTATCATGTAGCTTTATTTGGTAATAGAGTATTATATTCTCTAAAACAGTACTTTAACCCTTTATTCTAACAAAACGATCATATTTAATTATGGCCTTATAATCTCGAAAAATTACTGGTGTCATATTTCAAAGAAAACATCCATTTTGACCTCTCTCGAAACCACCTGAACGATGTTTTTGTGTGACATCTGTACGTACGGACAAAATAAAGCACAGAACTGTTTTTGCCAAAACAATATTGTAAAATGGATTCAGAAGAGATTTTCTAAAAATTATGATTTTACTAAAGATTTCGTATATATCTCGCATAACTCAAGAACGAGTAGCCGTAGAACTTTGAAATTTTGTATATGGAACTGCTATAACATGTAGCTGTGCACCTCACTTTTCCGTCGCAGTCGGCTGCACCAATCATGTGTGTGTGTGTATATATATATATGAGCTTAATTTTTTTTTTTATTTTTATATGTTCGAAGAACGTGATTTTTTTTGCTTTAAAATGAATGAATTATATGGTTTTCATATCTCGGTTAAGGTTTTTATGCAATCTACATGCAATAGTTGTAGAATTATCAACAATTTAAATGTTTGTTGTTAAGTCTAACGAACCGCCGTTTGTTTACATTTAAAACTCAGTAGAATAGTAAATTAAGTCAGTTTCTGCACCTTAAATGACTTTTTGCCGTGTAGGACTAAAAACTTTCCAAAAGTAAAGTTTTGTGCACCAAAAAAATCTGCTTTCTTGCACGCTGGGCGAAATGTTTGTTTTTGCGTAGAAACTCTAATTTAAATTGTTTTAAAAAAAAATTAAACTGTATTCGGTGTTTTTCGTTTTTCTGTATGTTACATTTTTTAATGAAGATGTTTTGAGTTTCTATTTATTTTTTCTTTGTTGCGAAGTGAGAACTGAATTAATTGAATAAGAAACATATTTCTAGTGAAATTCAAGGAAATGAGTTTATATGAAATGCAGCAAAAAATGTGTATAATTTAATAGACCGTACAAGGAAGTCGTGCGGTGACCACATCAGATGTTTTAATTACCGATTTTTAGCGCAAGGGCTATTAGTCACGAAACGCGATTTTGCATTGCTTCATTTTTCATTCAAATCTGTTACCATTCGACAAAATGTAAGATATTTTACCTTTCAAATTTAATCTCTCTGTTATAGATGAACAAACTAAGCTCTTTGAAAGTGATAGATGCAGTTCTTAAGAATAGTGGGCCCCCCCCCACCCCGCCTGATTCGGTTAAATAAAAATGCATTTAATTCATATGTCTATTTGAGAACATGAAATATTTATATAGAGTTACGTTATACATTTTATTACTTATCTTATCAAATATATATTTTTCACTTTAATGTGACTTTTCATTCCAATCTATTGCCATTCGCAAAATATAAGATATTCTTTCATATTTAATTTCTTCATTATTAATAAAAAAATAAATTAAGAGCAGTAGGGTCTAAAATTTTAAAATCTGAACCCTTTCAGACTTTTTTCCAAAGTTGTTTGTTTGTTTAAAAAGCAGTGGATTTTCCAGTTTTTCTTTATATATTTTTATAATGATACCTGTATAAGGCGTGTCAAATTTGGCAGTGATATAAACATCTTTACGTGAGATTAAGATTTTTAATTTTAAATGAATTGCATTCTGATGAAGTATATTGCACCTATGCAGATTCTATTACCTCTCAACAGTGCCCAGTGCCTGCTATCTGGTCAATGGGTTTTTTGTTGTTGTTGTTGTTTAATTTAGAGAATAATAGCTTAGTAAGAGTATTATATTGAATTATCTTTCATAGTTTAGAAGTCCTGTAGATTTTCCTTAATGTAAATTTTTTTTTACTACATGATTAAAAGTTATATTCTAGTTAGTTGTTATCATCAAGGATAGGACTGTTGCTGCAAACAAATTTTTGTCTTCTGAAAAACCATTATGGATCAAAATCGGGCACTTTTTTTTCCTGTAAGAATTTATGGCTGGGTGACAAAATGTATTTATTTTTCAAAAAAATATTTCTTTTGTCCCCAAAAGTGATAGTAACTGACTCAATTTTGAAGCTTAAATTTGTGAAATTCTGAATTCAAACTTCAGGTTTTGGTTCTTGATGCAAGAATACTTTACAGTTTCCGCATGCATGCTAATGAAATTTTATTAGAGTATTCATTAATTTAATCAATGCAAATATTAAAATGATTTAAGTATGTAAAATACGAGTAATATAGAAACTAATGAAAATTGGAAAAGAATAGAAAATTATGAAATTGTTGCATTAGTCATAGATTTTCAGTCTATTATTTTTTGGTCGTCTGAAACAAAATTTGTTTGATGATCATAAAATTCAGAAAAACTTCTAAAAATATGTAGAAATTTGCACAGTGGTAGTAATGCCAGCATACATGAATTTTCATATTTCTAGGAAATTTGAACTGAGCTATAAATACCAGCATATAGGAATTTTCAACTTTCTGAAGTTTTATGGATGCGTTGTTAAGAGGAAAAACATTTTTTTTTCTTTTATAATAATAATAAAATATGTGTAGTAATATTAATTCAAGAACAAACCATTCAAATTAACTATTTCTGAAGCTTTATAAGTGCTAAGTTCTCACTGTATTTTCATCATATGGAATATTTTTATACATAGCTTTATTTATGCATATTTTTAAGGAAGTAGTTCATTATATTCTTCAGTAAATCATGCACCATATTTATAATTTTATCATTTTTAATAGTTGTCCTGTTATTCCTAATCGGTATTCTCTTTTGTAGGTAGCTGTTAAGACCATCAAGAAAGTCAAAATAGAGACTGAGCAAGATCTCATTAGAATTAGGAGAGAAATTCAAATTATGTCATCTATTCAGCATCCACATATTATCCATATTTATGAAGGTAATGAATTAAGTGATTCTGTTTTCACTTATGAACTAAAAATTCTGAGTTATGTTTAATTAATTTGATGATTTAAGGAATTTATGATGTTGAAAATTAAGAGAACTTTCAATAACAGCAAATATATATGTATAATAAGTAGGATACGTTTTAGCAGACAATGTAGGTGCTTTTTAATATAATCACAGAGTTGCCAACTCTCCCGATTTAGGCGGGAGACTCCCGATTTTCGACCACTCTCCCGCCAACCCGATTTACAATATATTTCTCCCGACTTTTTCTTAGTCTTAATATTTCTCACGATTTTTATGGAACTTGGCTTAATACTTCGTTATATGAACAAAAAAAAAGTGATTTTGGACGTCTGAAAGCAACTGAATTTTCTCTAGATTATATCTAAAATGAAACCTTGCGAATCAGATGAGAATTTCTGCTTTGTGATCGACAGCATACGTATCCAGAAACTTCGTTCTCCAGTTGTCCAATGGGCATCGAGCTCCACTGCGTGTCATCTGGCATATATTAGCCAATGAGCACAAAGCAAGCTCAAGGCCGTTGGCCGTTCTTTGGATGTTCTTTCGCTATTTCGTTCATCTTGTCCTGAGTTGTGTGAGTACACGTGCCTTTAGGAAATAGTTTTAGAAATTATCGTCTTTTGATATGTCTGCGAGAAAAGTGAAATACTCGTGCACGTTTCAAAAATCGTACACAGTTGACTTTCCTTCCATTATTTCTTCAAGGCAATGTAATAAATTTGCGAGGTGTACCATCTGTCGTTGCGTTGCGATTTTTCGATTTCGCTTGGTGGAAGGGCAGATGTTCTCAAACATGTGCGTACACAAAAACACAAGGACAACATGAGTTGTTTTGAAAAAACGAAAAATTAAATTTTTCTTCGGAAACAAAAGACCAAAAAGTGATTAATGCAGAATGTCTGTACTCTGCCTTTTTACTGGAGCACAACCTACCACTGAATGCATCGTATCACGCTGCAGCTTTATTTAGAAAAATGTTTCCCGATAGTGAAATCGCTAAGAAATACTCAAGTGCAAGGACCAAAACAGGTGCAATTGTTAAAGAAATGGGTTTGAAAAATAAATCTTCAGTTATTGATTGCATTAAAACAGCTCCGTTCTGCCTCTCTACGCATGGAAGCAATAATACCAATTCAAAACTGTATCTAATTGTTGTTTCGTTTTTTAATCCAGAGTCTTCAGAAATTGAGTGCAGTTTACTTTCTGTCCCCACTTTAGAAGGACATTCGACAGGCTTTAATATAGCACAGCTAATTATTAAAACTTTAAAATAAAATGCAGTCCCTCTGGATAATTGCTTAGCGCTTGGTGCCGATAATGCACCAGTAATGGTAGGCTTGAAGGCTGGTGTTGCAGGCATCTTAAGAAAGGCAAATTCAGATTTGCAGATTATGAGGTGCACCTGTCACCTCTTAAATTTAGCAGCTGAAAAAGGGGCAGCTTCTTTACCATTAAATGTGGATGAACACATTGTTGATATTTATTATTATCTTGAAAGGAGTTCTAAAAGAAAGGAAAAATTGAAACAGTTCCAACAGCTGCATAATACTGAAATGAGAAAAATTTTGATTTTTTGTAATTTCTGCATCATTCAGCAATTCAACTGGCAGTTCTCAAAATAATACTGCAAAATATAAGCGTAAAGCTGATACAAATTTCTCTCAAAATAAAAGAAAAATTGCTCAACACACGAAACATTTTCCGATTACTGTAAGTTTATCTTGTGAAGAACGAATATTTATTTTTTTTTCTTCGGACCTTAACAAAGCTTTTTGCTTTTTTTTTACAATTCATTTTGCCATCATTCGATGTTCTGAACACAATTCTACAAAGCAGAATTCCATTAATTCATGTTTTGCAATCAATGATTTATGATCTGTTTAAAGACATTTTATCAAAGTTTGTAAAACCAGTCTGTGTTTTGTCTTGTAATTCTATATATGATGTGATTTATGGTGAAACAGAAAATCAGAAGGAAGATGAAGATTTGGTAATAGGAGCTGCAACTACAAAAGTAGTGGAAGAACTTTCAGGAGAAGACAAAAATAAGTTTTATCATCATGTTAGAAGTTACTTCTGTCGAGTATGTGATTACACACTACATAAATTTCCAGTCAACGAATGAAGTGATTTTATACATGCTAAAGTTGCTGATGTTTCTGCTCTAGCAAATGCATCTTTTTTTTATACAAGGTACTTTTTGAATAGATTTCCTGTGTTTACTTCATTGTTTAGTCATGAAAGATGATGATATTGATGTTGCTACTGATATACTGCAGTCGCATTTTGCAGTTTACAATTAGAAAACTTGGATGAAGTTATAAAATCAGCTAGGATTGACACCCAGTGGAGGTTAATTGGAAAATTGAAAGGTGCTGATGGAATTTTAAAATATAGTGAACTCTCTAGAATTATGTTGGCCATCTTGACAGATCCCCATAGTAATGCAGAGTGTGAGAGGATTTTCAGTGTTGTTGCGAAAACGAGGACTAAATTTAGATCTAATATAAGTGATGACACATTAGAAAAACTTTTATTAGCGAAAGCAGGCCAACGTGGCAATTGCTATGAACAAAATTATGAAATTTCTTTCTTAACGAGAGCAAAATCTGCCACTGTCCATAACATTTGTATGAAAACTGATTAAAGTGCCCTTTTTTTTTTTTTTTTTTTTTTTTTTTTACGATGAAAGTAATAAAAATGTTTTTTATGTTTATGGTATTTTTGTTTTGTTTGCATTTAAGACTTAGTAACTATTTAAAGTTAATTCATTATTAAAAACTATATTTTTATCATTTAAAAAGTCTTTGTAACATTGTGAAAAATCTCCTGATTTCTTAAAAAAATCTCCTGATTTTTGAGTGTCATAGGTTGGCAAGTATGTAATCAGTTTTTTTAGCCTTAATTTAGATAATGTGTAACTTTCTTTATCATGTGACCTGTGTCTTGGATCCTTTTCAAATGTCAGCAAAGCAGGATCATCCCAGTTAGAAGAACTAATAAAACTGACGGCAAATGAAGAATTAAAAATTAAATTCAAGAATGGTTACCAAGAACTTTGGCTGCAGAAGCCGATTTTGCAATTGTACCCAGAATTATAGTCGATTGTTCAACGATTTCTGATAGCATTCCCATCTTTCATTTAGCTGAACATGGATTTAAAGCTGTAGCAACGTTTGTAACTAGAAAGAGAAATCGGCTTCATATCAACTGAACGTGGCGACTTACGATTGTTTTTAAGTAAAATAGAGCCTGATATTAACAATCTCCTTAAAATGCATCAAATTCGGCCTTCTCATTAGATAAGTAATAAATTAAATGTCGAGGGGGTCTTACGGAAAAAAAATATTCTCAAATTGGGCGGTGGGCAAAATAAAGTTGAGAACCTATGATCAAGGCCGTTGATGACCTTTCATCTGTGGGTTGTCGGTCACTGGTGTGAGGCACTGTGTAGGCTAACATTTCAGAAATTTTTGGAAGACTCAGGTAAAAGTATTTCTGCCATCTCTACCCACCCCCGTAAAAAAAAAAAAAAAAAAAAAAAAAAAAAAAACTTTTAATGCTTTGTCTAATTCGATAAACATTTTTTCTCTATTAAACACTGAATTTTTTTTTAAATTATATCTTAGAGAAAGATGACATCAAATGGGCATTAATAGAAAAAGCAGTGATTATTAAAAACACTAGCTAATAGAAAATGATGTATTTGAAACAGTGATACGCCCTGGTTATTTTTATTACCATCTTTTAGGGTATGTTTATTATTTATTAAAAGTGAATTTAATGATTTGTGAGGCCTTTGTAATATGGGTCTCTTGTGATGAGGACTTCTAGATCTCATAAATCCCACTCCACCAACAGATTAAACTTCTGCTGAGCCACATAGCATACTAATGGTTTCTTTAAATATGCTGTTATTGATTTACCGATAGAGGTAGGTTTTTAAATTCACTGCAAAATGAGAAGACAAGAACTTGTGTCTGGAAGGAATTGGAAGCACATAAATTCAGTGGCTGAGATTTTACAAAAAAAAAAAAAAAAAAAAAAAAAAAAAAAAAAAAAAAAAAAACTGGCCTTTTCTTGTTTTCTAAACTTTCTAAAAGTAACTCACATGACCAAAATCAAATCATCAACTGTTTTAAATTAACTTGATGTGCACTCTCCCCACATTCGCATGCTTTAAAAAAAGGTCGCATAAAATCAAATCAACAGACTACGTATCAGAATGTGGCTTGCGCATAAAGCCTTGTCATAGAAAGAGATTTCTTTCGTAGCAAAATTTATTTCAAATTTTTCTGACAAATATTTATTTCTGATGGATTTAAATTTTCAAATTTTTGCGATGTTAACTGTATAGTATCATCTTTTGGTGAAACTTTTAACTAAATCGTAACATGCCCCAAAAAATCTGTTCCTGTGATAACATGTAGATGCAAAACACACCTCCATATGCCAATTTCTGATTTCATGTATGATTTTTAAAATGCGTCAAATTTTTTGGAGCAATTTGCATAAATAAGTTAAATATTTGTCGCCGTCAGCAGAAAATTTTGAATTAAAAAATATATCAAACATGAGTTTAATTTTTTAGACGTAATTTTATAGGTCATTTAATTTCTCACTTTTTAATCAAGTCTTAAAAATGATAATCTGATAGATTTAACTCTAATAATATTTTATATAGTCATAATGATTTGAAATTATCTTAGTCATCCAAACAGCTTCTTTAATTGTGAAAGTCTTTGACAGTCACCAAAAATTTACAACGCATTGATTTTAATTTGAATTGGATTTAAAGCCTCAGAATTTTAAAAGCTTTGTCTCAGACACTTTTTCAGAGTAGGTGGAAGGGGATGTTTCCTCTGCTAATTTATTTCTAAAATTCTATAGATGCTGCTAGCTTTTAGCAAATCATTTAATGATAATTAGCAAAGCATCAGTTATAGGCTTTGAAACAGTAGATTA